GCCCCTCCCCCTTTCCCCCCAGGCCTGTCACGATTGGCCGGCCCGGCGGCGGAGGCGGGGCTGGCGGCGCTGGAGGCGGAGCTTGGCCGAGGCCCCGCCCCCAGGGTGGGGTTTTTGGAGCTGTGCCGGAGCCGCCGTTACCGACAGCCGCTGATCGTCACSCTGGGCCTGCAGCTGGCGCAGCAGCTCTCGGGGATAAACGCGGTAAAAATGGGAAAAAGTGTTCAAAAAAGAGAAAAAATGAGAAAAAATGGGCGTGGTTTATGGGAAATGGGCGTGGCTTATGGGAAATGGGCGGGGCAGTGGGCGGGGCCATGATCGTCACCCTGGGCCTGCAGCTGGCACAGCAGCTCTCGGGGATAAACGCGGTAAAAATGGGAAAAAATGTAAAAAAATGTGAAAAAATGGGCGTGGTTTATGGGAAATGGGCGTGGTTTATGGGAAATGGGCGGGGCAGTGGGCGGGGCCATGATCATCACCCTGGGCCTGCAGCTGGCGTACCAGCTCTCGGGGATAAACGTGGTAAAAATGGGAAAAAATGTAAAAAAATGATAAAAATGGGCGTGGTTAATGGGAAATGGGCGGGGCAGTGGGCGGGGCCATGATCGTCACGCTGGGCCTGCAGCTGGCGCAGCAGCTCTCGGGGATAAACGCGGTAAAATTGGGAAAAAATGTTAAAAAATGGGCGTGGTTTATGGGAAATGGGCGTGGTTTGTGGGAAATGGGCGGGGCCATGATCGTCACCCTGGGCCTGCAGCTGGCGCAGCAGCTCTCGGGGATAAACGCGGTAAAAATGGGAAAAATGTAAAAAAATTACCAAAAATGGGCGTGGTTTATGGGAAATGGGCGTGGTTTATGGGAAATAGGCGTGGCAGTGGGCGGGGCCATGGTTGGAACCCGGGGGTGCAGCTTTTGGGGATAAACGTGGGAAAAAAGGCGAAAAGGGGCGGGAACCGATGGGAAAGGGGCGTGGTTTGAGAGGGCGTGTCTCCCTGCTGACCACGCCCCTTTTCCCCCTCCCCCACCCCAGATCTTTTATTACTCCACCTCCATCTTTGAGGGGGCGGGGCTTCGGGACCCGGCCGTCGGCACCATCGGAACGGGCGTGGTCAACGTGGTCGCCACCGCCCTGTCGGTGAGCCACGCCCACTGCCACGCCCACGGCCCCGCCCACTGCCACGCCCACGGGGGACCTGGGGGGAGGGGACACAGCACGGGATGGGGGAGGGGCTTTTGTGTCACTCTAAAGGGGCGGGGTCAGTCCAGGGTGTGGTCCCAAGGGGGTGGAGTCTCATTTGGGCGTGCCCCAAAGGGGGAGGGGTCTCATCAGGGTGTGGCCACAAGGGGCGGGGTCTCATTTGGGTGTGGCCGATGGGGCGGGCTCTCATTGAGGTGTGGCCCAAGGGGCGGGGTCACATTGGGGTGTGGTTCTGGGGGCGTGGTCACCCCTGGGTGTGGTCCCAAGGGGGCAGGGTCTCATTTGGGTGTGGTCTCAAGGGGCGGAGTCTCATTGGGGTGTGTCCCCAAGGGGCGGGATCTCCCCAGGGTGTGGTCCCAAAGGGGGCGTGGTCACCCCAGGGTGTGCCCAAGGGGGCGTGGTCTCACCTGAGTGTGGTCCCAAGGGGGCGGAGTCTCATTGGGGTGTGTCCCTAAGGGGCGGGGTCACCCCAGGGTGTGGCCCCGATGGGCGTGGCCCCGAGTGGGCGTGTCCCCGCTGAAGCCCCGCCCCCGCAGGTGGTGCTGGTGGAGCGGGCGGGGCGGCGGCTGCTGCAGCTCGTGGGGCTGCTGGGAATGATGGGATGCGCTGGGACACTGGGCGTGGCCCTCAAGGTGAGCCAAAATTCACCAAAAACCCCAAAATTCACCCCAAAATTCACCTCGAACCCCAAAACCCCCCAAATCCCCC